TGTTATGATTCATTCAGATTGCAGAATGTATTCAGCACTGAGGTCTTGGGTGTGTGCATGCAAACCCTGTGTACCTTGGAGATGAAAGACGTTGTTGCTTTAAAAAAAACATACTCTGAAAGTCCCTCTCCTAATGCAAGCATTGCCAGGGGGCGGGGGTGATATTGCTGATTGCTGAAGGGTTGGGGCTTTGGTAAATGCAGGATCAGGGCCGTGGTGGCTACTCAGCCACAAGCCTCTGAGGCTTTCCTGTGTCATTCTGAGAAACCTTTTCCCCCTCTCCAACGTCACATCAGATACAAGGGAGTCTTGGCTATGACTCATCTCACTTCTCTTGCAAAATACCAGAAAAAGACGCAAGACCCTCTTCGGCTGTTGCAGCCAAGATCCTCTTCTACAGAAAAGGAAGCAACCATGATAAAAATGTGCGCACACCTATCAGCAAGGATCTGTTTGAATAAAACCTGCCAATCCCAAGAAGCCAATGAGTTTTTAGCATCTTACTGAATGACTGCTTTGAAAGCCATTGATGCACACTAAGCCCTCCCTCATTTTCAGAGAGGATTATCAACACTGTTAATAATCACCATTGCTGAGTGAAACCTCCAGCTCCAGAGGAAGTCTACCTGTGAGTACCTTTTATGGGAGAGCAGCAGAAACAGAAGCCTTGGTGGCTTTCCTGTTCTGCTTGAGGGCTTAGCAGAGGTACCAGGCTAGCTGCAACAGGAAGTCAGGTGCCAAACCTATGTTCTGATCTGGAAGGGCTCTTTCCCCAAAAAAACATTTTAAATCTTTGTTTTATTTTCAGCAAGCACAGCAACATCAGAAATACGTACCAAATACATGTATTGTTTTAATACACAAACTGAAAAAACTAAAGAATTATTACATTTAATGACATATGATTAAAGATGATTGAGTCTGCTTTAAATCCATCATCGCCAGCCTGGTGCCCTCCAGGTACCTTGGACTTCAACTCCCAGGAGCTGCAGCCAGCCTTCTGGGGGGACTGGAAGTTGGAGCCCAGCAAAATATGGCGTGACAGACCCTCCCGGGCTAGGTGTGCCAATGGGCCAGCTCAGGCCACTTTAAATAGCCATTGCTTTTGGTAAGAGAAATCAAAGTCCCATAAAATAAATGCACATACATCAGTGCACTGATACACATCCACAAAAACACAAACCCATACATGAGTTTGCAAACCCTCACCATCCCTTCAACAGTGGCGCTTTGAATTGGCACACACTCCTGTGTAAATAACCAGGGGTTCCCACTTGAATAAAATATTGGGAAGGGGGCAGGTAAGCCCCCCTGCATAATCGATCACATGACATGGTCACACCATTTGAACGGCAATGCCCGTCAGCTTTGGGGGTGACCCCCTCAATTATTTTATTGGAGGGCTGAAGGGACCTTGGCCCCTAGGAGTTGGCTCCTAGACTCAGTACAAAGGACAGCTCCCAGAATCATTTGGGGGAGCCATGACTCTTCAGAGGAGCATCAGAGAGGGGGGTGAGAGAGAGATGGCCAAGGCCCCCTTGGCCATGTGACCCCACCGTGACGCAGAGACAGCCTTGCTCCCACTTTGACGCCACCAACACACTTTCATTTCTGCTACACAGCTCCTGGTTCCCCTTCTGCTCCATCTCCACTCTTGAAGGGAGAACAGAAAGCCCAGGCCTGGAAGAGATGCCTGGCCTCTCACTTGGCCCCAGACTAGCTTCGCTTTGTTCGGCCACCCTGAGCCGTCCCTCCCCACAGGCCTCACACCTGATTGCCTTGGGACTTTGCCGCTGTCCCCAACAACCCCGTAACTTTTGATCTTGGCAGGAAGAGCCCAGAATCGATATGTGGGGAGAGCTGATGGGTCTCAAACCCTCGGGGAGTTAGGGACTTCCCTGCATGTGAAGACAGGCTCTGGCGGATTGAGCAGAGGAGACCAAGAGTGGGTCCAATGGTCGAGAAAGCAGTTTCTGCCCATGCCATAGAGGGAAGTGAGGGGCAGATGGGGCTCGTCCGCCTGGGAAAGGAGCTCATCTAGGAGAAGGAAAACTCTTAAACCTTCACCGCCTGGCAGGATATCTTCAGGAGAAGAAAGGCTCAGGAGGAAACCCTCCACAAATCCAGGGTGGAGACTCTAAGGCAGAGGGTGCCTGGTTTGCCTCCTTCTGGCAACTCATGTGGCCAAGCTGGTGCCAAATGGTGGGCTGTGCTTTCCTTTGGTGAGGCCGGGGGGGGGCTTATTGTAGTCTGGGCAGCCCCCCCCCCCGACACACTGCCCAGGTTTGCGCCCAGGGAGGTCACTTGGTTGTTCCTCACACAGACGAATGCAAGCAACATTGCAGTAATACATAAAGTATAAAGCTTTGTATAAAGTAGTATAAAGCTTTTGTGTCAGGATCAAGTAAACAGGTACCTTATTTTTGTTGGTTCATTGCCCCCTCTTCTCCTAAGGGTTCACAATGTAAAATTACAATATAAAAAATACAAAACACATAAAAACAAAAACAACCCAATAATCCCCCCTTCCACACCACCTCTAAAAGTGCATCGGATGTCAATCACCCAAAGGTCTGGTTAAAGAGGAATGTTTTTGCTGGCTGCCTAAAGATGTATATTGAAGGCACCAGGTGAACACCTCTGGGGCAAGCGTTCCAAATGGGGAGCCACCACAGAAAAGGCCCACTCTCGTGTTGTTGCCCTCCTGACCTCACAGGGAGTGAGCACAGATTATGATCTCATATGGAAAGAAGCGGTCCTGGAGGTATTGTGGTCCTGAGCCGTTTAAGGCTTTATAGGTCAAAACCAGCACTTTGAATTGGGCCTGGAAAGTAAAGTGGTGCCTCGCAAGACGAAATTAATTTGTTCCGTGAGTTTTGTCGTCTTGCGATTTTCTTCGTCTTGCGAAGCACGGTGTCGGGAAAGTTTTGGAAAAGCTTCAAAAATCACCAAAGTCTTCAAAAACCTCAAAAAAGGCTACCACACCGCGTTCTATGAGTTGCTCCTCGAAGTCAAGTCGCAACTGTATTAACGGTGTTAAGAAAAAGGAAACAAACTTGCAAGATGTTTCCGTCTTGCGAAGCAAGCCCATAGGGAAAATCGTCTTGCGAAGCAGCTCAAAAAACAAAAAACCCTTTCGTCTTGCGAGTTTTTTGTCTTGCGAGGCATTCGTCTTGCGAGGTACCACTGTAATTGGTAGCCAGTGCAGTTGGACCAGGATCGGTGTAAGATGCTCAAACCGTCTTGCTCTGGTGAGCAACCTGGCCACCAAATTTATGCACCATCTGAAGTTTCCGAACCATTTTCAGAGGCAGCCCTACTTATAACACATTTCAGTAATCTAACCTTGAGGTTACCAGAACATAGAGAACAGTAGTTAGGCTGTCCCTGTCCAGATAGGGGCGTAGCTGGGCCAAAGCTGATGGAAGGCACTCTGGGCCACTGAGGCCACCTGAGCCTCGAGGATCCAGGGGGACCCCCAGGAGATTTGTTAGGGAATCAATCAAGAGAGGTGATTAAGTAGGGATGAGCTCCCTGTGGGGGTTTTATTTTAAAAAGGAAACTAGCTTTTGACTGGCTTTATACTGAACTGAAAGCTGAAACTTGGACTGAAGCCTGTTGACTGTAATTCATAAACCACACTTAACAATGTTAAATGACGCCTACACCACCTTGATCTGGGTTTTTCCGTTACCTTCCATTTTAAATTGTAAGGTATACTCTAGTTTTTAAATACTAAAGTCCTCTTTCACTGGTTTTAAACAGAACTGAAAGTTGCTTTTTTCCGTTGAGTCCGACCCTTAGGCTTTAAGCTTTCATGCCACTCCTTTCCACCTAAAATGCCCAAACTTTAAAATCCGAAGAACCTGAACTGGGTTCAACCAGATAGCTAAGTCTACTTTTTCTAATTCTAAGCTGAATACCCCACTAGTTTTGTCTCTTCTGTGTGGAACTATATATTAATCTTTTTTTTCTTTTCTTTTTTATTCCCTCCCCAAAATTGGGATTTAATCAAGGTTTCTGGCTTCCTGTGGCCCTTAAAAAGTCCCCTGCTAAGGTGGGAAAAATCCCACTGTGGTGGAGCTGAAAACTAGGATTCTCTAGGCTTGTATCTTTAACTCCTAAGTGAGGGGGGGTCGTTTTTGTTTTTTTAACAGATTTTAGTTTCTAGCACAGAGGTCAGCAACCTTTTTCAGCCATGGGCCGGTCCACCATCCCTCAGACCATGTGGTGGGCTGGACTATATTTTTTGGGGGAAATGAATTCCTGTGCCCCACAAATAACCCAGAGATGCATTTTAAATAAAAGGACACATTCTACTCATGTAAAAACATGCTGATTCCCGGACCGTCTGCGGGCCGGATTTAGAAGGCGATTGGGCTGCATCCGGCCCACGGGCCTTAGGTTGCCTACCCCATTCTAGCACACTGCGGTCTTTGACACCCATGAACTCCAGAATAGGGTCTAGATTGTATATATATGTGGTATAGTTTTTTGGGGGATACGCCAAACCCTAGAAATTAATGAATTCTAGGATTGTGATAATTAGGGATGGGAAGGGAGAAATATAAATTGCAGCAGAATTCCTGGGTAGCCTGCCCAAGCCAGGGCCATTAAGGGAACCATAGAGAGCCATTCCATGCAAGAGAACGTCTTTCTTCCTGCCCTGGGGTATGGGCAGAGGGCAAGGGGTTTCTTGGAAGAAGAAGGAGAGAGAAGAGCTGAGATCCATCTTTGGAGGCTGCTAGTTGCAGGTTGCCTATGTTGCTGCCTCTTGCAACAACCATGTCGTAAGATCTGGACTCTCTCCATGCAAACTGAAGGTGTAGATAGGTGAATAAATCATATTTCTTAAAGCCAGATAGTGGCCGCCTTTTCTATTTTCCAAAGGGACACAGACCCTGTGGCGGTGCCTGGGACCCCTGGGCTCTTGACACCGCTTGGCAGAGAGAGGGGCAAGCACCTGACTTTTGTAACAATATATTTGGCCAGACAGACAGTGCATCCTGACTGCATTTTATTAAAGGATGTATTTTCTAATTTTGGATCTCTCATCTGCAGGCATTTCTAAAGCATGCCTCAGGAAATGTGAACTTAGAAAGGAAAGGAACCCCCAATATTGAGAATGCCAAAAAACCAAAATGCCTTATGCATGAACTTAGAGCCACTTCTGTATTTCAATATATTTCATCATTTGAAATACACATTATCTTTAGGACCCACATCCAGACCCCAAACACATTCAAAATTCATTCAAGAAGTCCAAAGAAATACTAGGTTGTAAACACACCAAAAACACCACAGGAAATAAACTGACTTAGCTTTCTCTAGATTTCATTAATGTGACACTATCTTTGCCTTCTTCACTCCCAGATTTACAGCTGAAACTTCACAAGATCAAAGTAGTCCATCTGTGGGGAGCCAAGGGGGTCGTGGCTCCTTCTCACCAGTAAGGGCAGGAGGGAGGGCAAAATCCATAGTCTGGCATGGCTGGCAAATTCTCTCTGCTCGATCCCCTCTCTGCAAAATAGTGCTTCTTAGCACAATCCTTTGGCATGCCGCTGTTTATCGGCAGAGATAGAGCTCACTCACATTTCAGCCTGCGGTGGGTGAATCACATGGAGGGAGCAGCCCTCCCCAGGGGGAAAAACATCTGATTTCAGCTGTGCGTAATGGGTGCTTGGCTTGGGTGCCCCAGGATTAGACTGTCCCTAAGAATGCCATACAGCAGTCAGAGAGGTTTGCAGAAGACACACTTTTGTTAAATGAAAACTTACAGGATTGCTCCTGCGGGACATGCGCTGATTGGAAACTGCTTCAAATCTTTTCCAAGCGCAAACAGTATTTGCACTGTTTATTTCCTTGTCTGCAATCCCACATTATTTGTGCTTGTTGATAATCCTAACATTTTTGGTTTAGTAAAAAACAAATTGTGTGTTTGTAGCAGTATGGTTTAAAAAATGTGGACATGAAAGTTGGGGGTGGGGTAAATGTCTGCAGAAATCTTCCTATATCAGATGGGTGACTGAATCAAATGGTCAGCCATTGCAGTGGGAGCCCAGCATCCTTTACCCCCCCCCCGCCCTATGACTAGCAAACCTGAAACAAAAGAAAATAGCACTTGTTCATCAAAGTGGATGACTGAGACAGGTGGCGGGGGGGGGGGCAGAAGCCTTATCCTGCCTGGCACATCCTTTCCTTAGGTAGACTGCAAGTGGTGGGTTGCCGGGGGAAGTCAATAATTGGTTCATGGCTTCTTTGGCCAGGTGAAGAAGCAGCAGCCTCAGGCAGTGAGAGATGTTGGTGGGGACACAGTGTGCCCCACAGCCTGCCCTCCTGCCCCAACTAGCTCCTTTCAGGTGTGGCAGAGGATGTGGCCTCCTTGCCCAGGTGAGACTAAGATTAAATTCTCTGCTCCTCCTCCTGGTGTTTGGGGAATAAGGAGGTTGGCAGCGGCTCCTTTCTCTCAGGCAAGATAATGTCTGGGGCTGGCCCTGTTGTTTCTGGATACAGGATCATCTTCTGAAGAGAAAAATGTAAATTAGAGGAGGGGGACAGAACTTTCCTCACCTGTTTAAATGTAACTGGCAGTTTTGAGTCAGAGAAATAAAAAGTCACGTTTTGGGCTCTGCTAGGCGACTGGCAGTCTCCCTGGAGATCTGCTGTGAGAGGAGGGGTCTTGGTTTTCTGTGTGAGTGCAAAATCCGTGCCACCACATCGTTGTAAATTAGGGCTGCCATGTTACAAAAAGTGAAAATGAGCATCTTCTTTTTATTGCCAACCCCACTTCCCAGATGGGTTGCCAACCAATTTTTTAAAATTCCGCTACTTTCTACGGACGAATCCCTGATGTGTCAGGGAAATTTCGGACAGTGGTCTCCTTCAAAGGAAACTAGACTTTGCCAAGTGCTTCACCTGTTGAACTGCTCACCACTGAGAGATGTGTCGTGAGTGTAGCAGAACATATATTTTAAAGATAGTTCTGGATGGAGTAGATCTGGCATGAAAGTGCTTCGCATTGTAAAACACAACTCTGGTGAACGTGAGGAGTTTCTAGAAAGAACCAGAGAACCATATTAATGCTCCGGCAAGAAGCTGTTCAGAGTCAAGTTGTCCATATCCACCTCTGATCCATTCTCCCCAAGCATCTTTACCCTTTTCACCCTGGGGTGCCTCCCTCCGGCCTCTTCTGCTTCTTCAGCAGCTAGCAGGGATGAGATGCACACCATCTCTGTGTGGTTGCGATCATTCATTTTGTAGGCCCGTTTCTGGCGCCAGAGCATGGTCGCGAGGACACCAGTGGCCACTATGAAAATGCCAGCAATGAGGGCCAGGATGAAGATCCACAGTAAACACTTCCCTACCAAGATGGTGGTGCCACTGAGAGATGTCACTGAGCGGGGCTTCTCCTTGGTGGTGGTGATGGTGGTTGAGATAGTAACCTTTGCTATGAAGGAAGGCCTGGTTGTGCCAATGGCTTGCCTCAACTTCGCTGTGGAAACATCTGAACTGGCCACCATGGACTGAGAACTTGTCACATCATCTAACAATGGCCAATCGGTGGTAGGGCTTGGCTTCTCAGTCGAGTGAGGAAATTTCACCTTTCCCTTTGCTATGAAGGAAGGCCTGGTTGTGCCAACGGCTTTCCTCAACTTTGCTGTGGAAACATCTGAACTGCCCACCATGGACTGAGAACTTGTCACATCATCCAACAATGGCCAATCGGTGGTGGGGCTTGGCTTCTCAGTCGAGTGAGGAAATTTCACCTTTCCCTTTGCTATGAAGGAAGGCCTGGTTGTGCCAACGGCTTGCCTCAACTTCGCTGTGGAAACTTCTGAACTGGCCACCATGGACTGAGAACTTGTCACATCATCCAACAATGGCCAATCGGTGGTGGGGCTTGGCTTCTCAGTCGAGTGAGGAAATTTCACCTTTCCCTTTGCTATGAAGGAAGGCCTGGTTGTGCCAACGGCTTTCCTCAACTTCGCTGTGGAAACATCTGAACTGCCCACCATGGACTGAGAGCTTGTTCCTCCAACCAACAGTTTCTCAGGGACCCCTAAAACCATCATTGTTTCTTGGAGGGCAGTAGCAACCTTTTCTGTCTCAGTAGGCATAGATTGTGATACAGTTTTGCCCACTGTGGGAGCAAGACGGCGGACACGGGGCACTGGAGCACGAGAGCTCTTTGTGGTACTTAAATGGATTACTTCTTTGGTGGTGCCAACTTCTGTGGATACTTTCCCAAAGGTATCTAGAGTTGTTGTGGCATTAGTAGGCACTTCAGCAGTGGCACCATTGTAATTGTCCCCAAGAGATGTGTGACTCTCTGCTGCAGCCTCTGCGACTGGGAGACTTTTCCTGGCTTCTTCTGCGGTGGCCGCAGGAGGGTTCTTACAGCTACCATCCTTCTTTCCGCAAGGTAACTGAGGGGATTCCTGGCCATCATCTCCTGCTCTCTTCCACACCCACTGTCCTGGGGAAGCGAACTGAGAGCCTGCGTTGGCAGGGAGGTTGTATGACTCCACATCCTCAACAGCAGCGCCATCTTGGATACGGAGTCTTAAGGTTGGGAGCCTGAAACTGCCAGCTGTGAGGAGACTCCAGAGAACCATCCAGAGGGAGAGCCAGAAGGGAGCCATTTTACCTGGGGTGGGTGGAGAAAGGGAGCCAAATACACATATTAATATTTGTCCACAAGTCTCAACCCCCCCCACCTCCCTCCACCTTACACCTCAAAATGGCTGCCACAAGAGACCTTGGTTAAGTATTGGGGGCAACAGGGGTGCCATTTGGGGCTGTTATTGAGGGGTCTTCGCCCCTCTTCTAAAGGCTCAGGCAGAGCATTGTCTGTCTTGGATACTTTTTAATTTGTTTGTAACATTTAATAACCCACCCTTCTGCCCTATCCTGGGAGAAAGTAGAGGTGGGGGGGGGGAGATCTGATATCAATACATGGCAGCCGACTCACAAGAGCCGAGGGGAAGAGCAAGCATCAATCCTAACATTATTAAACGACTGAAAGGGTTAAAATTAAGGAAATGAAATGGCCCCTGGTGCCCAGTGCCAACCAGCAGTAGATTCAGGGTCAGGCAAGTCTCTCTGGAGAGAACAGCATAAGTGGGAGGCATTTTTCAATTCTCTTAATCATTTCGCTTCAGACAATTAAGATGTTTCCATCATGTCACCCGTGCAAACTCTTCAGCATGGCATCACGCGTTGCAGGCCAGGTGCCCCCACCTGCAGCCTGGCCACTGCAATCTGCACCCGCTGGGCCTTCTGCACCGGCCCCAAGGGCAGCACCACACAGAGCACATTGTACCAATCTAGCCTCGAGTTTGCCAGCGCATGGGCTGCAGCCACTCTGCAACACAAGCTTAAATGCAAGCACATCATGAGTTGCTGCCACTGCAAATCTGTTAGGCTTTGAGATGCCATGAGGCTTTGTAGCACCTGAATTAGCTGGGATGCCCAAAGCAGGAATGAAAGTTTGTGCATGCCTAGAAGCAGAGCAGTCTGTTGCCCATTTCCTGTGTCAATTAATACACACTAAAGCGCTTTCAGGAAGGGCAGCAAGCAAACCACAAATGCTTACGTATTTTTCTCTTGCAACTGAGCCCAGCCCTAAAGCGAAATGGTTGCTGGGTGGTGGTTGTTTATGGTTTTTTAAGGTTAAGGGAGGCCAGATTGGGAAATAAATTACTTATGTCCAATGTACAGTGAATGTCTGATGTAGATTTTTTCAATTTTGTTCTCTATGGGACAATGACAATAAAGATTATCGTATCGTACTCCTCCTGCATGAAGAAGATGCGTGAGGAGCCTTCCTGCCTGCCCTCAGAGACCCCCTGCAATCTTAAATCGACAAGGATGGCGGAGGAGGGGAAGAAGCAGACAGACAAGTATGAATGTGAATAAATTCTGCTCCGTGCATTTAAATTGGGTTTACTTAGAAATCCCCTACCATGAACTCAAGTGCCCCCGCAATGACACGGGAGAGGTCAAACTGGCGACTTGTGTCCTCTTGTACGGCTCTTTTTACTGAAATCTATACATAATCTTCATTGAACCCATTTTATCAAATATGTCAGGAGAATCAGATGCTTTTGATGTCATTTTACTGCTTTCAAGTCAAAATGCATCTATAACCTTCAGTGTGGCCAAGTTGTTGCAGCAAGCAAAACTCGCCAGCAACTGACCTCAGAGACATTCTGTAATTCTCCTCTTTGGAGTTTATGACAAGTCTATAAGTTTGAAGATGTTGCTGCCCATTTTATTTTATTCTATGCTACTTTTATTTCATTTCACCCTATTATACACATCTAGATAAAGTGTTTCAAGTGCTTAATTTTACTTTCTGTCAGTCTACTGTTGAAATGCACTCAAACTCTGCCAGTGGGATTTTGTTCTGTTTTGTTAATCTTTAAGAGCAAGCATTGTCCAGGGGAAAGTCAAAGAGTAGACCATATGAGTTACTGTCAGCCCGGAGGCTGAATCTCTGAGTGAGGCACTCACTGGTCCCTCTGGGTTTGGACATCTCCTCAAAACGAGCTGCTCTGCAGTTCAGCTTTGGGCCACCCTCTTTCTTCTGACTCCCAAATGCAACTTCATCACCCCACCCCAAAATATACATACCCTGAACGCAGAACAGCCCAGTGAAGAGAGGGAGGCAGCTTCCTTTGTCCACAGAGCCAGGGGAGCCGGCAGTTGCACAGACAGGACATGCACCGGGTGCAAAAGGGACTTAACTTGGCAAATGTCTGTGGCTTCAGGCTCCCAAAAAGAGAGAAGCAACCGCCCACTTCCATGCGCACACATCCATTTGTCTTACCTGCTGCGGGGCAAAACAGGAAACCTTCCGTGAGGCAGTACGAGAAAGAGAGGTGAAATCGGAAGAGTTGTGGTGGTTTTGGAGAACACACATGATGCCGCTTCCTCTTCTTTGGCGGGGCGGGGGGGGGGCAGTGTGCAACAGCGGGAGGTGGGGCTATGGGCCCTACATTTGCTCTGCCTGGGGACCTGAAGAAGACCAGGCCTCCGGATGCTGGGCTTTTCTTTAAGGACCTTCTGCGTTTGCCTCCTCAAGAGAAAGGGAGGAAGGACACAATTCAGGACTCATTTACATTTACTTATTTGTTTTAATATAAAAATTGGCCTGTGATTGTTCCACCACCAAGTGATGTCCCTTCCGCTCATTTCCAACTTCAAAGGGAAATCTACTAGGGCTGTTAGGATACAGTTCCCTTCCACCTTAAAAGGGTCAGGCATGACTGTTGTGTATCACATGCCTGTTTACGTCCAGCACAGTCTGCTGGGAACTTCCCTTGTATGTTGCTTTTGTGTTACTGCTGCTTTGCTGGACACGGAGGCAAGCAGACATGTTTTCTTATGTTCCTGAGCTATGCTGAATAAAATGTTGTACGTTTTGCTTGCACATCTCTCTCTGCGCCTTTTCTACTGTGAGGTGTTTTACACACTCTGATGACAGAGCGTGCACGGGTTGTGGAACGTATCTGAGGCTCGTGTCGCTGACTGGTGCTGGTGCTGTTCCACGGGAGACCGAGATCGTCCCGGCAGTATCCCAACAGGGACCAGGCAGCCCAATGAGAGTTTACTTTGTGGCAAGCCAAGGCAGGTCTTCCCAGGGGGGCTGGTGTCATGTGCAGCCAGGTGAAATTGATCCAGCTGACATAATATCTGCTCCAAAAAGACAGTTTATCTCCTGCAATACAAAGTAAGAAATCTGGAAAAGTTGGAAACTCTGGTGGAAGCTGTGACATTTATATATATATATTGGAGGGTGTTTCCAACTAACTTTTCCTCAGAGTAGGCCCACTCAAATGAACAGACTGAAGTTATTTATGCCCTTTTGTTTCAACAGGTCTGTTCAGAGGAGGCTTAACATTGGATACAGCCCTCTGTCTTCAAGCATGAGGGCTTTCTGTAGTGTTGCATGAAATGCTGTCATGAAACTCCCTACACTTGTGCAACAAGTCTCACCCAAGGAGCTCCCTATACGCCGTCTTTTGCTCGACTGGCCAGGGTGCTGCAGTGGTTCGTGGCAGACCAGGATTATGTCCACATGAGGGCCTGAAGCGGAGCAAGGCCCAGTCCTCTTATTAGAATACCAGAATGTAAGCGCCTGCTGGATCAGGCCAGTGGACCATCCACTCCAGGATCCTGTTCTCACAGTGACCAACCTGATGCCTGATTCCCTGTGGGAAAGTTGCAAGCAGCACAAAAGCAACTGTCTTCTGCTGCTGCTTCAGCAACTGGGATTCAGAAGCCTGGCTGCCTCAACTGCGGAGGCAGAGAAAAGCCATCCTGGCTAGTAGCCATCGATAGCCCTCTCCTCCACCATGAATTCGCCAAACCTTTCTTTAAAGACATTGGTGGTCATCTCTGCCTCCTGGGGGAGCTCCATAGTTTCCCTTTGTGCCGCATGAAGGAGGACTTCCTTTTATGTGTCCCAAATCTTTCAACGTTCAGCTTCATCGGATGCTCCAGAGAGTTCTAGTGCCGTGAGAGAGGGAGAAAAACTCTTCTCTCTCTGCTTCCTCTGTGCCAGGCAGCATTTTATAAACTTTTTCCACATCACCTCTTACTTGCCTCTTCTCTAAACTAAAACGCCTGAAGGGAGGCAGCTTGGCAAAGGCATTTAATCGGGCACGGCAGGAGCTGAAGCCCCACTTCTGGGCAGAGAGGACTTCTGTTGGACCAGGGAGAGCCTCTCTTGGCCGGGTTTCATAGGCAACCGTTAAGTTGCAGGATTGCTGCTGCAAACTTGATGCTAATTGACACCCGCAGAACTCACTGTGCAGGAGGACATAGCTTTCCACCTTAATAAAAGCAACTTCCACACATGGATTGCTGCTTGTGTCTGCTTTTTGTTGTTTTAAATTGTTTTTATTGAAGATTTTCTTGGGTAACAAAAGTACATACAGTGTCTCTGCTTTCAATGCATAGAGTCCTTTCTGCAGATCACTTATATTTGATGTGAGACACTAATGTTACGGACAAGATGAGATGGGAGAAGAGAGATGGGGAGAGAGAAGGGGGGATATTGAACTTTCGATCTTTTATACGGAGTTCATGAAAGGTTTTTATGTCAGTATCATGTGGGTAGGTTCTTTGCTATTCATTTATTACTTTTGACTGGCTACTTGCTTTCATGGTCTTGATGAGTATATTTCAATATTGCTTTGGTATACCTAAATTTTTAGCACATCGGGTGGTGCCCAACGTTAGCCTGTCTCACAGAAACCTGCTGAAATTAATGGACATAATGACTAACGGACAATTCTAATGGAGGTACTCTTTGGGTATACCTTATCTTAGGTAGACTTCTTCCAGCGGCGCTGCTAGCAGAGGGACTCAGGGAGCAGTGGCAGTTTCACAAGCGATATATTGCCCAGTGAAACCGCCATCCCACTCGCAGGAGGAGGAAAAAGCTGCGCTGGCAAGCTGTGCCGATACACCTTGTTCCTTCCTCTGCATCTTTAAGCCGCTCGGCTGAGGAGTGTGTGCTTGCCACTCCACTCAGCCAAGCAGCTAAGGCAGTGGTGGCAAACCACGTGCCAGGGTGAGCACTCGGCGCCCTCTCTGTGGGCACTTTCACAATCGCCCCAGCAGGGCCATTGCTGGGGGTTGGCAAAGTGGGCAGCCGCTCCCACCCCCACTGCGGTCCCCAGGACGAAGGCCTGTTAGATACTCTGGGCTTTACGAGGCATCTGACCCTCCCCTGAGACTACTCCAGCTGACGCATCACACACCTACTTCCCAAGCTAAAGCCCCACCTGGGCAATTTCACTATTCAGGTCAACTTTACAAGGTTTCTCCTCCAAGGTTTGTTCATCAAAACTCACCATTTCACAGCACCCCACAAAATGTCCCCTCGGTTCCCTAACCTGCGGGGTCAAGATTTTGCTGTAAATTCCATGATAATTTGCTGTGTTGGCACTTTGCAATAAACAAGTGGGTCTTGTGTTGCGGTCTTGGCACTTGATCTCTAAAAGGTTCGCCATCACTGAGCTAAGGGATCCCCGGCCCTGGCTCCTGCGCAAGCGGGGAGAGCACCAGGGATGGCTCTGCAGGGAATGGGGAGCCCTCCCGCACCCCAGCTGAGCTGTACAAACAAGCTGCCTTGTCCCAGCTCGCTAGGCATGGGGTGAAGCCGCCTCAGCTCCTGCGGTGAGAGGTGCAGCAATTTCACCCAGCGCCTGGCAGGCTGAGGCCCATGCAGCTTGTTTTTTCAACATTGTGGTGTCTCACCAGACCGTGATGTTTGGCTGGCGATATACCACAACATTGAAAAGCTGGTATCACCCAGCCCTAGTACACATTGTGATTGGTAAACTCACCAGGCCTGATTGTTTAATAGACAAGGAGGAAGACATTGTTCCCCAGTAACGATGTGTCATCCCCCTCCGCTCTTGCATTTCCACAGCCACTGTTTTTCAGGGAGGCAGCTTCTGTAGGACTTACAGGAATTTATTTCACAAGCTCTTTTGATGCCACTTCCTGTCTTATTTATGCAAATAGATGATGCGACAGATGTGGGGGGTGGGAGGGATCTCACTCCTGGGCCAGCCCCCGTATCTCTTGCTCTCAGGGCAGTGCCGCACTGGTGGCTTACTCTGAAATGGTCAGCAGTTTGCCTGTTGAGAGAATGTGGCTTTTGTGTGTGATTCACAAGCTGCTGTGTGAAACTTTTTCTGCTGGAAGATAGAGATGAACGTTCTTTAAACAAATCAATAGCCAAATCATGCTGTGTTCTGCTCTGTAGTGCTTGTTTCCTAGAGAAGAGGCAACAGGTTTTTATGGGTTCGATGGTGTTTGGCCCAGTTGAGACCCTAATTGCCACACTTCTGTAATTCCAAGATTGATTGCCTGAGTTACGGACCTTGACAACCAGGGCTATGCCACCTGTGGCCTTCCAAATGCTCTCAGGCTCCCCACATGAGCCACAGGCAGAGATGGCGGGAAATGTGGCCTGTCCACACACAGCGGGTCTCAGGCTCCACAACCCAGTTCTAAACCAAGCACCACCTTTCCCAATGCCCAGTGACTGGTTCTGTGAATTTGGGACCAAATGCTGAGGGTTATGGAGCGCACACGACTGCAAACTGAAAGCAACCACCTCCCTTTACCTCTGGTAACTTCCAAGTACAAAATGTGGACTTTTAATTTCCAAGTTTCTACACCCCCACAGAAGCTCGGGACCAGAATGTGAAGGCTGCACACAGTACAATGGCTTTCTCCAATGTTGCTGGAAGAGGCAGCATGAGGGAGCTTGTCTTAGGCTAGACAAATTCATGGAGAATATCTAAGGCCTGGTAGAAAGATGGAACCTCCAGGTTCAGAGGAAGTCTATCCCTTCATGCTAGTTGCTGTGGGTTGTGAGTGAGAGAAGGCTGCTCCCCTCATGTTCTGCTTGTGAGCTTCCTAGAGGCTTCTGGCGCACAGGGTGATGGATGTGGCCTGATCCAGTGGGGCTCTTCTGGTGTTCTGTGTTAGCCCTGCAGGAGCCATAATGTCTACTTCCGGCATGACATGTGGGGTGAAGCCCACGCTTGGGCTCTTTCGGAGGAAAAGAAAAGACGACCACAGAACGCAACACGGTTTGGGTTTTTGTAATCAATGGTTTTTTTTAATCTCTGAAATTGGAAGCAATTATTTGGAGAGAACACTTTGGGCACTCTATAAGAGCGCATCTCTTGAATACCTTTTGCTGGGTCTCGTGGGGGGAATGTCACAGCTCGCAAGAAGCTGCAGGCACTGACTCCTTCTGAGCCTGGTTAGGCATCACCAGATCCTTTAAATAAAGACAAGCTACACATCCAAGGAGGCCCTTCTCACGCCCCTCCCTTCAGAAATAAAAGGAGAGGAAAGCGCACCCAGGAGAGCCAGCGCTGCTGTGGGCAGAGGGAAGTGGGAAACTGGGAGGGGACGACCCCTGGCGTTTGGAAAGAAAAAGCTCATCTCTCCTCCTCACCAATTTAAAAACAAAAAGGTCTCCAGGACATAAGGCTGAAGCAACATTTACAGACGGACAAGGTAATAACCCTTGGGCCGGGGAGCGAGTTCCCTTATTCCTTCTGAAAATTCACACCTCACCACCAGCCACCGAGTGCAAAACACCCCAAACATCCACTTACCTCAGAACTACCTCAACTACAGACTCCCACCGACACAGTATTTGCCACAATTGCCCTGGTGCTTCTTTCACACACATCTGACCACCTGATCCTGTTCAACAACGCACATCCATCGCCCCAACAGCACATTTGCAGCGAGAGTTAACTCCGCTGTCCCCCGTGGCATAATTTCCCACCACAGGATGAAATATCTTCCCCAGACCACAACATTCTTGTTCCGAGAGGTTTGAACATGCAATGGGGGGGGGTTCCCACCTTAAGACATTCTATCTTCAACTACTGACGGAAAAGACACATTTTGATCCCAGGTGAAGCTGTGCAGGACCGCCATGCCTAACGGCAGTTTCTTTAGACCAGGTGGGTAGAGAGTGTGGTGTGTGTTTTAAATAAAGAAAAAGAAAAGTATGCAGTACTCAAAAGCTTTTAAAAGAAAGAGGCTTCCAAACGGATCCATTGGCCCACACCACTTTTGCAAGATGCTGGGTTTTCCCAGGTGCCAGCTGATCTCAGCACACCTGCAAAACTCGGAAGCCATGGGGGCGAGGGGACAGTGTGAATAATCCTGACTAGCCAAAGCAAACCCAGCACAGCCAACTGCAGACTTTCCTGCAGAGAGTCCCCTCTTGAAGTGATGCTTTAAAGTGCTGCAGCACAAAGTATCAAGGTGACACAGCCATGGATGAAGACTGGCTCTGGGTGTGTTTGGCAGCAGCATCCAGCTTTGCCCCTAGTATGTGACCATGCCTGTTTGGTATGAAAAAGCCTCACGTTCCCTGTGGGGTGGCAGGAGGAGAGAGAAGAAAGGGCAGAAGACCTCATCCATCCAAGCCAGAAAGACCCACTTCGGATTCTCACAACCAAAAACAGCTAAGGAACTCATACGAAGAGAGACGTGGCCTCTTCTGCTGTGGTTCATGCCCTTTGTGAGCAGCCTGAGGCCACCCTGGAGCAAGTGAGCCAGGGGCTATTTATGTGCCAATGCTCAGAAACGCCTCTGAGGGGTGGGGGAGAATCCTGCAGCTCTTGTTTACTAGCGATGGATCTTGGCTGCAGCTGATGTTGCAAGAGATTATGGCAGATTCTTAGTGGGGCGAATGTCTTGGAACTTGCTCACTGGAGCAGCTTGTGGGCTTCATCTTCACTAAAGGCAGCCTGGAGGTGGCAAGTGCAGCTTCCAACCTAACAGAGATCAATCAGGTGACCCAGGGAGCCAAAAGGATCCCTACCTGGGCTGGTTCCTCCAGTCCAATGCTCTTCCCAGGCATTGACTGGGCTGCTCAGACTGACTCCCTGTCTGCCTCCAAGGCACTGTGACAATCAAGGAGTGGTTGCCCTGCACCACCGAGATCAAGGGGGTGTCCTGGGACAATCAAATTTGGACTGAAAATCCTCAAGGGACAGGATAGATACTGTACTTCAAAGCACACACACACAATTCATTTCAGAAGACCTTAGTGGCAAGAACGAGGAAACCCTGGCTATGAAAGTTCTAGACACAGGATGGAAGGAAGAGCAGAGAAAATTCCCAGAGGGCAACTCAGCTGCTTGCACAACTTAATGGTTGGTTGTCCGTCATTCTTAAAACTTTATATATAGATGATAAATAGAACAAATATTGGAAGGGAAACATGGACCCAAAATTAGCAACCACCACGACATGCCAGGTTTTGACACTATTAAGATTAAACCAGAAACACAATGTAAGTTTGAATAATGGCAACACAGACTTCAATACTCAGCCCTGGAAAAAGCATTCAGTCCCTGTGATGGTATGGAGGGGAGGGGAGAAGAAGGGATATCAGGGGTTTGGGATGCATTTGTAAGAGGTCAGAGAGCTGAAATTATTTTCAAGGTTGGATCTTTCAGACATGGCAGTGGACCCACCACGTCAACTGTTCAAGGATTAAAAGGCTTACACAAAATTCCTTTGTTCTCTGAATGGCACATATACACACAAAGCAATGTTCCTTTAGATTAAAAATGCAAAAATACTGCAAAATAATAAAAAGGGGGAAATCATGACTTTAAAGTTTTTTTAAAAAAGGAATTTCTAAAAGGATTTTTTTAAAAAACGACGTAATTTTGGTCCTGAATCCTAGGAAGTCTGACAGATTGGCTCCTCACTGGAGAGGTGGAATGGTTGGCTTTCAGATCAATGAGAGGAAACAGGTCACAACAGCAGCAGTTTTGAAATGGCCACACAGTCACCAAGAACATCAGGAAATTTAAAAAAAATCACTAAAAAGGTTTGGCTTCAAATTGGCTTCAGCTGGCGCTTGTGAATTTGGGAGGAGAAAGTCTTGACTGGGAAGCGCCCAAGGTGGTCGTGCGGGGGCAGCTTTGGAAAATGAACGCCCTCCCCAATGGCAGTGACTCCCCCCAGCGCCCATCCTGCAGTTGGCTCACAGCTTGAGTTCTGCTTCCTTCCTTCCCTCCCCGGTCCCCCAGCCGCTGGGCTCTCAGACTGCAATCTTTGCCATCTGCTGTTCTAACTTGGAAATGCGCTCGTCTTGTTGGGTGATGGTGCCTTTTAGAGATTTGAGCTCTTTCAAAATTTCATCCAATTTGGCTTCGTTTTGCTACAACAGTGAGAAAGAGAGACAGAAATGGAAAACAGTGAATACTAGAATAATAATGGGAGGAAGAAATCCCACGTAGAAATAGAGTGGAAGACTACCAACACATGCAATTTGTTCACACGGCAAGAAGGCTGGATTGCAAGAACACTGATCTAACCCCACGAGAAGAAGCCGAGGTTTCAGCACAGAGCAAAGGAAGCTGCCATATTCCAGGCTGGACCATGAAACTATCTAGCCTTAGACTGCCTGCTCTGACTGGCAGTGGCTGCCCGATGTCTCAGGCAGAGGTCTTTCCCATCCTCTGCCACTAACTGAACCTGGAATCTGGTCCGTGCCCAGAATGGGCTCTCTGCTGAACGAGGGAAGGGGCAGGGAGCTGGGTTTTGCCCCAAAGGCCGCTTCTGCTTTTAAGTGCCCATCCCAATATAAGAAGCCTGCTTATGTAAACCTGCATCCCACAGGAAGGCCAAGCCAGCAGGGCATGCTGAGCGAGCCTGGAGAGGCAATTCCTGCTCCAAATTTCTCAATAATCTAATGCAAGTGGGGAAATGAGTCTATTTCAGACTCCATACACTGAAAGCTAAGAAGTTATTTTTTTTACTCACGGTGTTTGAGGTGTCCGCTGCTTTTTTGGGGGCACTGATGAGATCGCTTTTCTTATTTGCTGCCAGCTTGTTGTCTAGTATGTTCTTCTTGACCACCTTGAGATCCCTGTTTTTGCCAGGAATGTATCCATGCTTCAATGAGATAAGGATGGGGTCGCCATTCTTTCCATCAAACCACTCCTCAGCTTCCAGGGAAGCCTCTGGACCAGCCGTGTCAGGATAGAGATCATCCTGGAAAAGGTCAGACTGCAACAGGGAGGTGGGGGAAGATGCCACATCAGTAACTGCTGTGAAAAGTCCTACAAGACGCTCACATATCTGAAACAACGCAAACACTCACCTTCCGAGGGACAGTCATGATAATGGGCTCGCACTTTCGCTCATGCAGTTTGAAGAACCTTTGAAAGAAAAGAAGCACACGTAGAGGTAAAGGTAAAGGACCCCTGCACGGTTAAGTCCAGTCAAAGGTGATTATGGGGTTGCGGCGCTCATCTGGCTTTGAGTCTGGCCCCTCTAAGATCAATATCCTGTCTGACCAACCAGACAGGTGCCTGTGGGAAGCCACAAGCACTCTTCCCTTTAGCCTTCAGAGGCACACGGCCTCCCACGCTGGAGGGAACATATGGCCAGTGTGACCGGCAGCCACTCATTCCTTGTCCTTTTAGAAAGTCAACTCAACTCAAAGCTAAGGCATGGCCCAATTTTCTTCCTCTCTAGGCCTCAAAAGAGCAGCTGAAACCAAAAGGACTGCATTCGGGGTTGCTGGCACTCTTCCCGGCCTCTCGTTACCTTGCTATCTCGCACTTGTTCACATCCAAGCCCCTCTTCGGCATGAAGCCCATCCCTCTCTGCGGCTCTTTGCTGCTGAAGGTGTTGAGGTAGTGCACATAGGGCGACTCATCTGTGATCTCAAAGTAGCGAATGCTGCTGTCACCCTGGAATAAATTGGGGAGGGCAAGCAAGTGACTACGGGCCAGGAATCCTGCTCGCGGGGGTGAGGAGGTGTGTCCTCCCAGACCATTCCTTGTACAACACGCCCACCCTTCAGGTACCTGGTGTCTCTGGCACATTCATGAAGCCTCCAGTGTGAATTATGTCTACTGACACGTGAAGCAGCCTGCAGGACCAAGGCACAGGCCTGCGCATCCACCCTGCTGCTGCCCACAGTGGTAGCCAGAAGCCTACAAG